TTCTTTGGGGCTATTAAAAAAGTAAAGTTTATGCCAGCAAGCCAAAGACTATCAACGAACTAAAAGCTAGCCTAGGAAACCCCTGATATACTGGCCAATGTCATGCAGAATGCGAGGAAAAGAGCTGTGTGTTTCGAATGAAGGTGGTCATTTAATCAACGTTGTATTCTAAAACTGATTCGAAATAAGTGGCAAAGTACATCCTAAATAAATATTGCTCATTTGTCAAAATCGGCTAAACACTGACAGAGTTATTCAAAGTTGAATGCTGTAGGCCTAGATGGCGCTCCCTGTATAATGACAAGGCTCAAACTTTATGAAGGAAAAGTAACTTTAGTTTAGTAGACGCAAAATGCATAGCCCTTAAAAAATTTTCGATTTATAATGTGTATCATAAACTGTAAATCTTTATTTTGGAGTTACGACTCTTTTACGACTCTCTTTAGCAATGTTTGTTATTATTGATTTGGACCAATTTGGTAACATTAGAGATAAGACACCAATCCAATCATTAAATGCCAAAATAAAATAAAATTGTTTTTAAATTTTTTAGTTTCATTATAACAGTTGGGTAAATATGTATTGGTAAAACACAGAAAAAAACCTTAAAGGCAAAATGGTTAAAAAAGTTATATACACAATTTTGGAAGCAAAAATAGGGGAAAGTAATTGGTTAACTTCTTTGACGACGCTCGCTTCGTTATTCGTCCTCCCGCGCCTATAGATTATGCGTAAAAACCAATAGACCAGTGACTGAAATCGGGTAAAGTCCAGATTGTACTGAAACCGAGACCGACTTACGGTTCCACTTGCACCTTATACTGAACAGCTACAGATTTGCTCATCACTATATTTACACTAAATTAAGATTAAAAAACCATAAAAAAGATATTATTTATTAGTTTAAATCACTTAGTAAATATTTCTTGACAACAAGTAAGAGATGAGTCTAAAATGTCTAGATGTTCTTACCAACTTTTTAAAAAATCTACGCCGAACATCTCTCTAGTTCTAGCTCGTTATACACGTTGTTTGCTCAAAGGCGGACTAAAAGTTTTCCATATTCAAACTTCTCACAGAAAATAGTTTTTTATTAATCTTTGCACATTTATATTTGTTTCCATAAATCCGGCGACCACACTTGTCGTACATTTTTCGGTCTTGACGAGATAGAATGCCTCCTCTGCGATGATTGAACTATATCCGTAAACCCACGTTTCGTCGCTTTTTATAAGACGTTTCCGTTTATAACTCAAAAATTTTGATACAAATTTTACTGCCTTTACTACCGAAGGGATTAGAAAAATGTCAAAATACGATCCAATCGATATGCCAACATCAACAGTAAACTCTCTAATTGCTAGTCACAGATCGCTCATAGCAATGTCGTTAATTTTTACAACATTTATATCGGTTGATAATTTACTGCTGTCCTGAGCGTTCGCAGTCTTCAATACCTTCGCTGGTCCACCAGAAACCTTCTTTGGCAATCTCACACAGATTTAGTTCATTTGCTATTGATTTCTGGATTTCATTTTTTATCAAATTTATGTGTATTTTGCATCGTTTTGCTCCATGACTATTCAAAGTTAATGTCATTATGACTCTATTTTTCTTTTTCCTTTGCCTCCTCTTCGAGCCAATTCTTCACCACTCAAATCATTTGTCTATAAGGTGAAAACCTAAGAACCTCCTAATCAAGCACTCGGAATATCTGCCGCGGCACTATCAACGGTCTAATTGTTGACAATTAAGGTCCGAATTAACAGTTTGGTTCTAGTGGATGGTTCTTTGCCAATCCCACCCAGCGCGCAATAAAACCTTCTTGGCCAGCAAATCTGTCTCGGAGACTATTTGCTGTCATTTGAGGTTGCCATAAGTTATATATTTTTCATCACCAGTCCCCATTCGCCTCAAAAAATTGGTCGATTTCGTTACGATTCAGCAGCGATCGGGATTCTCTCTATGAAATTTTTTTAGTTAACCAATGCGGCACCCATACATCGAGCTTCATTGTGCATCCAGCCTTTTTCAAGTGGTTCCAAACTGTTTTTTTTTTTTGTTTTTTGGCAATGATTAGCTACTGGGTATTTAAAATAGTGCTCGCATGATGGCCATACTCATTTCATTTATTAATTTATCCACATTTTTGTCCATTGCTCTTCAACAACGTGGATATTTATTTACATAAATTTTATCACAACGAGATCGGTGAAGCCAAAATTGTGAATTACTGATTTCAACAATATCAAAACCATAAATACTATTCACATTTTCAACTGCCTGTTTGACGTTTTCGCCTTTATAGAGGAAATATTGTAGAATAGAGCATATTTTTTCCTTGCTTTTGACCATTTTTGACGTGACCTCAAACACTACTGATTCAACCAATCACAAAACTCTCAAAAAAGCTGAATGCCATCTTTCTAACGTTATCTCGCGGAACCCGATCGCACTTGTAGAACGCGAGATAGAGATCATTAAAGCCGTCTATTGCAAAAATAATGGATTAGTTTTTTAGACCTAATATATATATATATATATATATATATATATATATATATATAATATATCTGCGAGTATAATTTATTTGCCTCGGAACTAATTTAAGCTCCAATCGAATTTTATATGTGTCTTTTTCAATTCATGATTCAGCTACGGGGCGCCATTACTATATTTAAAAAAAAAAATCAAATATGTCTGACAAACAATAGCATAAATTTTAATACTGTTTTATGAAATTTAAAAAAAAAACAATCAAAGCAATAAATTCAATTTATTTCAAACTCATGTAAACAGGAGTGTCCACACATTACTGAGTGAAAAAAAAAAATTATCCACTAAGGCGTTTTTTCATTGGTTGCGTGTGTAAGCTTAACATGTGTAGTATTTGCATGAGTTTCTAATTAATTACGGTAATTTATGTTGCAGAAATTGTAAAAAAATATTTTTATAAACTTTTTAAATATAATATTAATATTTCTTTTTATTTAATATTTTTGTTTTATTTTTTTCATATCTCTTTTCTTGTACATACCTCGTAAATAAAGGGCGCTTCCTATGAGAAGTGTTATTTTGTTAACCTGCCATTTCGGTAGATGTCACTTTGAAGCAGAAATTTTTTGGCATTTGGCAGGTAAAAACTACGCCAGTAATAAAAATGAATGCATTAAAATTATTAAATTTCGAATTAAAATGGTGAAAATCTGGCTGAGGTGGTTCGAAAAATTAAAACATTTCTCGACCGTTGTATAGCATCTTGTCGCACCGTAATGCAGAAATTGGGGGAAAAAATTAACACTTTGAGTCGAAAAGAATAAAACACGTGCATTTCGCTCAATAACAACCAAGAATATTGCTGTTGTAGCCCAAGGCGTTGAAAAAAATCAGGTTTGTCCATTCCTTATGGTTCCACAAATATCATTTCATCGGCCGTTTTAATGGAGACTTGGGTCTTCACTTGGGTCGTACGTGGTAGGGTCCTAAAATTGCATGAAAATTATCTGAAATTTTCATTGATAAATAATTTTGACTGCAGAAGCTCATTTCTCCTGCGATGGCTAGGTCAATAAGCAAAGATTTTTTTGTTGAAAATCCGCTCCCTCCTCAAAATGTAATTGCTAGTGCGGTTTGTGGTTCAGCGGTGACATGGGATCTTACTTTTTCGAAGACGAGTCTGGAGTAACAGATACGTTTAGTGGATTGCGCTATCGAAAAATGATTAAGGATTATTTATGTATGAATGAAATGGTATTGATTTAAAAGATGTTTATTTTCAACAAGACGGCGCTACATGTCACACGAGCAACGAAACCATCCGTATTTTAAGGGAAAAGTGCCCGGACCATGTTATCTCTCGTAGAGCTGATTTCAATTGGCCACTGAAAACTGTTGATTTAAACTTCTTTTTTTGATTCCACGTGAAAGATAAGATCTACGCCAATGAGTGAACGTTAAGATCCGCTCTTTCTGACATACCATATTTTAAATTTTGGTTGGGAACAATATTGCAACTCGCATTTTACTGGGTGTAAAAATTAAAGTAAATATATTGTACAATATATATTTATGTAGCCAAAATTTGTCTTCGTTAATGGTACATATTTATGTTTATACCTGCCACGTTAGTCTTCCCGCAAGGTGGATAAGGGGCACCTGTCCGCGTGAGGGGTGTTGGCATTGCATTGAAATTTACGACAAAGCAAAACTGTTGGATAATTAATACATATGTACATATATATATATGACGCAAGGCGCCGCGAAAGAGATTTCTATGCGCAGGTATGAAGGTACAAATGTACTCCCCTCATTTTAGGTTACCAAAATTTGTTTAGTCTTATCTGCAAACCAACGATCGCTGGCCAAAAAGAAAAAGAAAATTCGGCGTGAGCCAAAAGTCAGCATTTAGCAACGCTACGCTACGCTGTAGAGCGTCGCACTTAACCATGTATCATCGGGAATTTATAGAAAACCTTTTTTGCAATATTTTAAAATAGAAATATCTTCGATACGCTAGATAAGCAAATGAGTAAAACACGCGCAACCGAGGAGTTAAAGCGGCGAGCTGGGTAATTAACCCAAAATCGGATGCTGCGGAACAGATTGGTGCAAGCGTTGGAGCGCCGAAAGTTGACCGTCAGCCAAAACGCTGACTACGTGGTAGGCAGAGAGCGAAAGCAACAACAACACGCTGGCGATAAGAAAACCAACAGCTGACGAAGAGCGTGGAAATGCAACTAGTAAAACGCCACCAAAGCCAACAAAACTGTTGCGGATGCTGACTGAGGAGGAGGCGTTGCGGCCCGCCGTTGGTTTGGTGATGGTATCGGCAGGGGTCGGTGAGTGCTGCAGGTGCGCGCGAGAAATGGTGTAATTGCGATGCGCTTTAGTCAGCTCCATCAAACATCATCAGCACACAGTAAATGCGTGACGGTAATTCGTGCGCTGCTATAAAAGAAGTACGCCATGCCACAGTTCATCAGTTCAAAGCAAAGCTTCAAGCAAATCAAACAACTTCAGTCACAACAACTGCAACTATCCCACAACTAAAAACCCTAAGCAGAGAAATGCGTGGATTCATTGTAAGCATTTGTCTAGAGGACTATAACAGCTTGGACACTACTAATTTTATACCCTTTCAATACAACAGGTTTTGTGTTTGTCCGCCGTGGCTATCGCCGCACCACAAGGCTACAACTACAACCCAGCGTCCGCTGGTGGACATGGCGCTCATGGCGGTGCTGGCGGTTTAGTCGCACATGGCGGCCAGGGTGGTTTTAGCCAATTCGGCCAGTCATCCAGCGCTGGTGGGGCATTCTTCAGTGGCGGTAGTGGTGCTGGTCTTGCCGTTGGTGGTGGTCAAGGTGGTTTCTTTGGACATGGCGGTGCTGGTGCACAGCAACAACAAGCCGTAGTTTCGAAACGTTTCTTCATTCATACCGCACCTGAGGAGAACGATGATCAGTACCAAGAGAAACACATCACTGTCGGTGTGCCACGCAAGAACTACAACGTTGTCTTCATCAAATCGCCAAACCGTTCCCAGAAGAAGGCTTCCATCAAGATCTCACCAGCCATCAACGAAGAGAAGACCGTCATCTATGTGCTCAACAAGAAGACCGACGGTACCGACATCGATGCCCAGGTCTTGGAACAACCTGCTGTCACCACCAAACCCGAAGTATTCTTCATCAAGTACAAGACCGCCGAGGAGGCTCAACATGCCCAACAGGAAATTCAAGCTCAATACGATGCGCTCGGCGGCAGCAGCCAAGTCACCGACGAAGGTGTCGCACCCATCAGCTCGGTTATCGGCTCATTGGGTGGCGGCGATGGTGTTGGTGCTGGCGCTGGTGCTGGAGCTGGTGCAGGTGCTGGTGCTGGTGCTGGTTTTGGTGCTGGTATTGGTGGTGGTGCCCTTGGCGGACATGCCGGTAACAATGCTTACTTGCCACCCAATTTCAAATAAGCTGAGATAGTTGTTGTTTGTTGATATATTTGTACTGTTTTTGTTGTTAAATAGTGTTTACGCTTTGCGTTGTACCAAACGCGAAGAATTTGTTGTTAATTTTTATACATATACACATTTTGTGGTACTCTGCTTTGTTAAAACTTTCAGTTTGTCATCGCGGAGTAGAGAAATAAATAAGTCTTTTGTACATATAAATTAAAATGAAATCTTATTTTTTGGCAAATCACTCCAATCGCTGCAGCTTTGCCCGAACAACATGGCGGGTTTGCGTTGCCTAATGCCTAGGGGAAAAAATAGTCGGTTTCCCAATATACAAAATAGCAAAATCATAGGTTAGAGAGAAACCCTTTTGTTTTGTTTTGCTTTCAACACCCTTCGGCTCATTTCAGTCATTGCAGCAGCGCCTTATTATGGCCTCGAGTGGCAGCTTTACACGCCTCCACTTCATCACTTCATTGCGTTTCTTTATTATTTTTTTTATTTTTTTTTGTTATTTTAACTGATTCATAAGCCGCACTTTCCCATTGAACTCGCTCGCTCTACACGCAACTGCTGCGTCAATCATTCGTAATCAGCAGCACTGAAAAAATATTTATTTTTTAACCAATTTCAGTGCTCATGTGCTCATACATACATACCACATATATACATAAGTGCAATACACCATATTAGTATGCATACTGAGCTTTTTTTCTGCTCTTGCCTTTGCCTTTTGCAATTAGTTTCGGTAAAATTTAATTAGTTCTTCAAAGAAAGCTGTAATGAGTACTTAAAATTAATTTATTTTGCGTTGAGGCACTTTTTTCTGTCGAGGTCAGCTGTGATTGAATATCGAAAATGGGTATATCGTAATAACGGTTAACTAAGTCACATACATGTATATTTTGGTTGTCTTGGATACCGCAACGCGTTCAGAGTCGCGGCCATAATAAAAACTCAATTAGCCACAAAACTAGTTCCCCTCTCTCTCTCTCTCTCTCTCTCTCTCTCTCTCTCTCTCTCTCTCTGTGATCCTTCCGACGGAAAGGAAATTTTGCCCCTCAACTACTTTGGTCAGCGTTATCCAAGTAGCCAATGTCTCTTACGTGTAATATGTAGGACCATTAAATCCATTCAGTTCGATAAATTTTCCATTAAGAATTGAAAATAATCGAAAGGCATTTATTTGGTACCGAACAGCTCGGTTAGGTCAATCAAAATTCTGTAAAACTTCTTTTTGGTATTTAATTTTGGTTTATATAGCTCTAGTAGTTGAGTAGAGTTGATGCGGCTGCTGGTCAGTGACCTACGGACTTAGGCCAATGGATCCTTTGTAATACCACTGTGAGGCTTTAGTCTTCACATTCTCTAATCTTTAAATCCTTGCGTGTGCAACAACATATTGCCAATTTTCACTGTAGCTAGCTTAGCGAGACAGTCGAAGAAGTCCCAAGGAACTTTTCAACGTGACGATTTCAAGGATGTACGGTGGCATAGGTAGTGTTTAATACACTCTTCCTCTTCTTCGTCCATGCAGCTACGGAAAAAACTAATGATTAATGCGTCATGCTTCTTCTGTGAAGCCACTTTTATGTCAAATCTTCACCATGCTTTTTGTAGAGAATGTGAAGTTCCTTCACTCGCTAGTTCGTTTACCACACAACTGCCTGGGATGTCACTGTGTACGGGTACCCAGACCCTGATAGTGTTGCATTTAGTCGAGAGTTTGTTCAGATTGCTTCTAAATTTTAAAGCCATTTTGTATAAGTAACGGCTTGACTGTGTGAATATATCATAACTGAGTGCCCTGCTGCTGAAAATTTTAGGAGATACTCGGCGGCTTACATGATTGCAGTGGTCCGGTAGTCTCATACTCCTACTCATTAAGAGCATCAGTGAGTATACTCGTTCCACAGTCTATTTTTCATCGAGCTTTGAAACATTTATACAGATAGCTGTGGCTGCCTGATTGAGGTGTTCGGCACTTCTGTAAGAGATAATATTTTAGCGTACCTTTTACTGCAGTTACTCCCAAGTTGAGTTGCATTCCATCTTATTGCGTTGCAGCTCGCTTATTATTTCCCGTACAGGTTTATTTTTGAAAAAAAATTCTCATGCTTATTATTTAACCTTCCGTTATGACTCACAGTTCATGGTGTCGGTATCGTACTGCTTTCCGAAGAAAAATGTAATTCGTAATCTTAAACTACTAAACCACATTGCAGCGATCAATGTTATTCACATAAGTAATTTCTTTTGCAAAGCGGGTGCTCTCGCTGTTCAAAAAACATTTCATTAATCACTAATGATGGAACATAAAAGAAAAAGAAGAAATATTCATACATATAAACTATGCAGAAAAATAATCAGGTTCATCGGTCAAACTGCGATCAGCGAGATGTGTGGCATTGATGTGTATTATATATGTATGTAAATATGTAAATGTGAGTAACATAACATGCAAATGTAAATGTGAACATCATTAAATTATTACTTCCATAAGTTAATTAAATTTTTTCGCATTTGATTTTTTGTTTCTTGCCAAAAGGGGCAATTTAAGTGGCAAACTTTCTTACAACAACAGTTAATCGTTTGGAAATCTGTATAATGCGAATTTCATAAACATAAATTAAAGCAATAAAATAATTGGCGAATTAGTTGGTCATTATAATAAATATAGAAAATAGTAAGTAATATATACAAACATCATTAAAAAGTATTTCACATTTGAATGATTTATGCATTAATTATGATCGTTATTTGGATCCAATGGGAATCATTGACGAATATTTTGTGACTCACAAATATATTAAGAGCAAATTGCGACTCGACACAAATATTGATATTTCTATTGTTGAATGAAATATAGGAAAAGGAGGCGTTATGTAACTGAATGTTGACTGTTTTGCTGTAAAAATATTAGGTCCACAAAGGACACCAGTCAATGCAAATAATATACATTTGCACAGCGACCTCTCACGGTGTTCGCGCTGCTAGGGGTTGTAGTGAGGAACGAAATACTAAATATACTCAAAGGGTTTTTAGTGAAAGAAGCAGTATATATATAGTGATGGTTTTAGAGATGTTTGCTCTACAATCAACAACGGACTAGGTGTTAATCCCAGCAAGACGGGACGGATATTACGACATTAACATTTGGGTATTTGCCAAACCAAGTGAAATTGACTTAAACTAACTCAACCAACTAACTCTTTGATAAACTTCATTCAATTTTTGGCTTCAAACAAGACCACTCGAATAAGAATTTCGTTAAGGTCCTTTCTGAAATCTCCGCCCAAACTGAAATTGCGCGATTGTCATGTGTCCTATCATAAGATTGAGATAACTATACCCTTAAACAATAGTATGGAACCAGCATACAAAGCAATTCAACAAAACCAGTGACCAAAGAGAGATCGCTCTCCACCACGAAAAAACTTAATTTTTGAATGCTTCCCATATTTATTTGATGAGTCATCCATGGTATATTCCTGACCGGAGCACTCTTTTTATTCCTATACGTAAGAAATAAATTGAAAAGGCAACACTTTTCAACCCCTGAAGAGGCGGTTCAAGCGTTCAGAATGTATGTTTTGGAGATGCCTTAATCAGAGTGGCAAATATCATTCCAGAGTTGGTTCTAAAGCATGCAAAAATGTAAATTTTTGAGTCTCTAAACTCGACAGATAAAACACAACCCTCGTATTCACAAATATTATCGAAATACCAGAGTTAAAGCTTACATAACTCAATGGTGTCTCCTACTGCGAAATATTTGTGAGTTGAGAATGGTACCAAATGAATTGGAAGATGACGAAATGAATAATTTAAAATTATGTATGTATGTGAGCTTTTACTCTCGGAATATTAAAATTACTGGAGTTTGGGCTTAGACTAAATAAGTCTTGATGAAATAGCATGTTCTGAAGAATAAACAATAACCCTCTCGAAACAGTGGACTCCATAATGCCACCATAGTAAATCAAAACTGTTCTAAAGAAATAGAATTACTTTCTATTATTAAAAGAACTTATCTAGCACTCAACTCTTTCTCTGTTTACAATAATTGTCTAAAAGAGTCATTATTTAAAATGAATTTTTTGATGATAATTACGGTAACTGTAATTAAATATAAATTAAATTGTCGTCAAGTAAGTAAAGCAATTTTAAAATCAAATCAAACCCAATTCAACCCTCCCTATTAGCACTCATTACGTAAAAATAACGGTTCTGTGAGTAACTATTAAATAATAAATTTTTTATTTTTAATTTTCAATTTCTATACGATGATTACACCATCAAGCACTGGCATACAAAACAAGTAATTATCGCATCAAATGTGACAATTAATTACTCGACAATTGTGTCTCTTTAAACCCTTAAACAATTGCGATATACAGGCACAATAGAAATAGCCGTGAGCCATAGAGTCAGGCGGACATTGTGTGCCGCCGTCATAAATCCAAGGCGACTCAGCCGAAATAGACAATCAGCAGAAAGTGAAATATCGCATAGCACAAAAGAGCTCTAACTGGAACGCCGACACTTATGCACATTGGAGAGCTAGAGAGTCAGCGGGTTGACAGACGCATCGTCTGATATTGAAGTGGTCGTAGGGAATTCCCATACTCATATTCATACGGGTAAGCGCGCGATTCAGCACAAATAATGCCTGAGGATTTATTTAGGATACAACGCAATTGTCTTCGTCTAATGGGACACCAAGATATCTACGACGATGACGGCGATGATAACAATAGTAGTAATAACAATGACACTGAGTTTTCAAGTGTTGAGCGAAAATCGCTTAGGCAAAGGCTTTGCTTTCGCCATTTACAGACAATGAAGTATGTTTTGTTGTTGTTGTTGATGATGTCGGCACAATTGCCAATGATGGATTACATTATATATCATATCGATGATTTGGAATTGGCGACAGCTTGCCTTAGTATTGTCTTCACCAACATACTGACCGTCATTAAGACTTCAACATTTTTGGCCTACAAGCGCGAGTTCAAAAGTCTAATGACCGAGTTTGAGTTGATGTATGATGAATGTAAGTTCGGGCAGAAATGAACAATAGTTCACTTGCTATTGTTGTGTGTGCAGGTGTAATTGGAGTTACATAACTTACTTTCTTCAATTCCTCAATTTTTGTTTTACCTAGTGCGTGGAGCGGGCGCCAAGCCTTTGCTAGTGACGGTCAATGTAGGTGCAAAACGATTTGTCAAACTGTACTTTTATAGCGTGTCTTGCACTGGCTTATACTTCACAATCAAACCACTGATCGGCATGTTTTGGGCTAAGTTTCAGGAGAAACCTTTGTTGCTGGAGCTGCCTATGCCTATGAGGTATGACGTATATTTTATGATTTGTGAATGGCTTTTCTATAAACAAATTGAGGGTATGATATTTACAAAAATCGAATCGTTTATCGGGTAGTAAATTCCCGTATTGTCCAATTATATTCCACTTCTGATTTTTTGAATCAACGTAGTTTCATTTGGTTTATTGTGATATTTTTTAATTTTTAGTGTTGTGATACATACCTTCAAATCTAAAAAAAAGCTTAGTTATTTCTTGTATTAATGTTGAAACTAATCATTATTTTATAACATAATTTTCATCCTGATCGGCTGTTGTTTTGGAAATAATGTTCGCTTAAAAGTGGATGTTATCATATACCTCTGACCTATATTCCAATCTACATTGAGAGCTTCTATGAATAGTTGCTTTAATCGTTTTTTGAACAAATGCTAGACATGCCTATATCGTATATTTTAGGTTTCTATCAATGATTGTTGTTTAATGTTTTAGCACTTTGCATTTATTCTCAGGTTCCCTTTTGACTTCGAATCTACTCCCGGTTATCAAATTGCCTACGTCTATACAATTTTGATCACTATAGTTGTGGTGATGCATGCAACATCTGTGGATGGTCTATTCGTGTCATTCACCACAAACTTGCGTGGTCATTTTCAAGCTTTGCAATATTTCATAGAGACAAATACATTCAACAAATCTGAAGCACGTCTACAGAAGGAATTACGTTTCTACGTTGAGTACCATGTGCGGCTATTGGGGCTCGCACAAAGCGTACAACGCATATTTAAGCCCATAATTTTTGGACAATTTCTGATGACATCGTTGCAAGTGTGTGTCATAATTTATCAGCTGGTTATGGTGAGTGCGCTCGGTTTGGCTTTCATGTCAATTTGGCTTTATCCTTTACTTGCAATTGCGCCGTTTTACCAATGTGTTACGCTTTCGTTCATGGCTCGTGGTTGTAGAATATGGGCGTTATTATGGAAATGGTTATCTATTGTACATTCCTCAGCTCAATTTTGTTACAATTGCTGATTTACTGTTACGGCGCTGAATTTCTCAAAATTGAGGTATGAAAACCTTTATTGCAATATACGTTTTCCATTCATCTCTCCACGCATATATGTACATATATATTTATTTGCTTACCATTCATTCCATCTTTTGCAATTTCATTTCTGGTCAATATTAAATGCCGCAATTTATTGCTTTCACTGGTCCATCGTGTGCCGACATCTCGACAGAGTTCCGCCGTCGGCACAGCTGTTCAAATGTCGCAGTGGTATAATTTACCGCCTCGTCATCGCCACGTTCTACGTCTGATGATGGTACGTTCGCAGCGTGAGATCATCATTAGTGCTGGCTTCTATGAGGCGTCTTTGGCCAATTTTATGAGCGTAAGTACTTGTGAGTTATGTATACATATATACATGGTATGTACATCGTATTCGGTGCTTAATTGTGTGGCAAGTTGCTGGCTAATAAATATTTTATCTGCAGATTTTGAAGGCCGCCATGTCATATATCACTTTTATTCAATCTATTGAGTAGTTTGTATGTGAAAAGCAGTTAAAATTGCGATTTATTTTGGAAAGAAGCAGAAGCAAGACAATTCTAAGCTGGGCGATCAATAATTCACTATTGGTCAATTTCAAATAAAATTCATGTAACTTAATCACTAGAGAGAGCACTGCAACAAATTATATTGACTTATGAAGTATTAGTGTCTCATAACAAATTATTTTATAGAAATAAAGTAGAACAAATTTGAAGGGTAGAAGTTTTGAAGACTTCTCCTCTTTATTATTGCATAATCATTGAGCTAATTTGCTTTGAGATAGATCAAGAATATTACACCAAATAAAAAATAAGGTTTCCGGCTGTTAAAATCAACAGATTTATTAATAAATTTTAGTTTGGGAGTCTACATAATAATACCTTAAAATCCATCTTTCTTGTGTTCTTAGCTAAAGGGTTTTGAAAGTTCTACTTTAGGGCCACTTTGATGTATAATCTGGTTGGAGATGGTATTAAGCGGGAATCACTACTCTCTGCTCATTTTCGAAGTCTACTTTCAAATCATTTCGTCATTACACTAGGGTTGTATTAAATTAATCGTACCTTGCTGGGTAAAACTGGGAATAGGGTTATAAATTTCCAAACAAACTATTTGAATGATATAAAATTACTTCATGCTGAACAGTACTAATCATATTTCTGCTTAAAGAAGGTAATGAATGACATGACATCTTGATCAAAAGAACACTCTTTTATGCCTGCAGGAAAATCGTCTACACAAAGCCGAATAATTGCTAACGTCAATAACTAAGTCGGCTATCAATCTCTTATAAAGCAAGAAGTCGGCGATTACTTTTTAAGGTAAACAAAAGGTTGCATGAGGATCTAATAGTCATTCTTTATTGGGAACAATGCATAAGTGCACTGAATAAAATAATATGAGCCGATGAATTGGCTTAATATAGAGTTACGGATTAGGAGGTAACTGTTTACTTGACAGCTTCTCGCAGAGAAATGCAACATGAACAATAAAGACGCGAAGCTCTAACTAGCGAAAAAAAATATAACTCACTTTAGACGGGACCGGATGAGAAGAATGAACTCAAACAATATAGCTCTTAAGAGCACCCGAAGATGGACTTTAAACCAACTTTTAAATTTTAAATAAAGGGTCATTGGCCTTCTGCTTAAACAATGAGTCGAAGTGTTGAGTCCGGTAATATTAGATGTAGTAAAAAGTCCGTTAGGTTTTTAACTAAGAGATGGCGTTATTGTCCTTAGTACTTATGTTACCGTTAGTGTTTATTCGCGCTAATACTTCGTCTCTAACAGTCTTTCGATTAATTGACTCAGTACGTTATGAGCGCTCGTTAATTATGGACACCAACAAAAAGAGAAAATTCGCTATATTTTACAATTTTTCTTCGATCAAAGCGAAAAAGTAGCCAAAACGGCAGAAAAACTTAATTTGGTTTATGGGTCCGATACTGAAAAGTATCATGTAGCACAAAAGTGGTTTGCTAGGTTCCGTTCCGGTAATTTCGATGTCAAATATGCACCACGCGTCGGGAGGGCTGTCATCGAAAATTGCGATAAATTCATGGAGATAGTGGAAACAGACCGTCACGGGAGCACTTATTTAATTCCTGAGGAACTAAAGATAAGTCAGAAAACCATTTGAATAACCTTGGATTCAAAAAGAAGCTCGATGCTTGGGTGCCACACGAACTAACGCAAAAAAACATGATGGACCGAATTTCCGTCAGCAAATCGCTGCTGAATCGCAACAAAATCGGCCCGTTTTTGAAGCGGTCGTCGTCAAAGCTCGGGGAAGCGGCCCAAGCTGTGACCGGATTGATGGCCAAGAAGGTTTTGCTGTATGTTTGGAGGGCTTGTCAAGGAATCATCTGCTACAAGTTGCTTCCCAGTGGCCAAACGCTCAATTCGGCCCTCTACTGGCAGCAAGTGGACCGCTTGAAGGCAACACTTATCCAGGAGAGGCCATCTTTCATCAAGAGGGGCCGAATTGTGTTCCATCAGGACAACGCCAGTCCGCATACAACTTCGGTGGCGCGCAAGCAGCTCCAGGAGCTCGGATGGGAGGCTTCGATGCACCCACCTTATAGTCCGGACCTGGCCCCAAGCGATTACCATCTTTTCCTGTCCATGGAAAACGCGCTTAATGGTGAGAAGTTGGCCTCAAGAGAGGCCTGTGAGAATTGGCTCCCCTAGTTGTTTGCCAATAGGGACGCGCCTTCTTCGAGTGGGGTATCGTGAAGTTGGCACATTGTTGGCAACAAGCTTACGAACAAAACGGCGCATATTTGACTTTTATCATATTTTGAAAAATCAATAAAAAAACCGAACAAACATTTTACTTGCCCTAATATTTTTTAGCACAAAATATAATTTTAGTCCGATCTCACTTAAAGGGGCGAGGTACAGGATGTGAAATAATTTTTTTATACAATTTTTATATAAGTAACTCCTGAGATTGATATTCATACTACAATATTATAATTGTATATTTATTTATTTTTAACTGTAATAATTAATTTATTTGAAAAATATACGATTTAGTATTTCACTAACAGATATGTAGAAACCTGCCGTAGAAAATATTCAATTTGTTTTAGTAATTTTTATGCAAAACTATATTACCATATAACTTACCTCATAAAATGTCGTTAAAATGGCTAGAAAACTATTTTGAAAACACGGTTACTTGTATCCACATTATATGTAGATATTAAAATCTTCTAGTATGTGTAATTTTCATTTTTTTCCTTCTGATTCACCCTGTATAGGAATTTCATTGAATTTGCACTTGGATGCATACCACTTGTTGGTTGTGGCTGCCAATTTGTAAAAAAAAAACTTCTTGACACATAACTTAGCATTTAATTTACTATCAATTTCACTCTTTTGCCACATGAATTTATTATAAAATGAACCTATTCCTACACTGAAAATTAACACAAACACAATTGCACTACATTACATCTGCGGCGACTTAACCGGACGTAGGTTAAAACACGACTGAGGAAATAAAATAGCAAGTGACCAGAAGTTCCTCTTGAATTTAAAAATTCTTCTGGTTTATAGTCCAGACACGAACCATTTGTAAGTAAAATCTATATTTCTGGGTTTAAATCTCCGACTGCTTGCAATAAATTTACCTCTTGTCTACCAGCACAATGGATCGACATGCTTATTCTTGCCTAATTTTAGGAGCGTTGCAAACGAAATCTGCAGTAATTGGGCAAATTTCGTTGATCTTTCTCTCATTTTATATAACTGTCATATTGAAGCGCATTTCCGCAGTCTCGTTCTGGCATCCGTGCGGTTTAGTGGCAAAGTTTTCGTCGGTCTAATTAATTATTGAAAAGTATTAAAAAGTGCATTTAGTGGAAGTACAATAAAAAGTGTTCATCACACTATCTATATGTGAATTACTATTATTGCAAAAGTGATAAATTTATTAAAGTGTCTAATGTTACGTTTGCAGAAATATATTAAAATAAAGTTTTCGTAGGTATTAACATAAAATGGCGATATTGATGATGACTTTGCACATAGGAGCGAGAGATAGTGTTGTTTGTATAACTAAAGGTTGACTCAGTTTATGAAGGTTTTAATTTAAAAGTGAGCGTTTGAGAAATCCTGTTGGCAGGTATAATATGTTGAGGAATTTTCTTCTTTACGATATGCTTGAATGAATCTACTGGTAATGTTTCACGAAAAACGAAACTGTTCATAAAACGAAGCAGCAAAGAAAACCTTTTAACAATTTTTTTTATCCAACTTTCATCTAGTTTTATATGGTCATTGCCTTAAAAGTGCAATGCTGGAATGAAATATAAATTCAAATAGCCAATTCGAGCCAAAACTCAATCTTCTTGAATTTTAAATATATAATATGCTAGCAGAAATTTGAAAACATAATTTTATTTACCTTGACAACCGGTAATATCGATAAAATAAATAACGGTTAAGTAAACGAAATGCCAAATCGGTCTCATGCTTAAAGCAGTGAAGTAAAAGTGAGTGAAAATCTTCAAGTGTGGATAAAACTAGAAAAAATGGAAAAATTTTAAAATGGAAAAGCGCAAATCACGAGTAATTCACATTTAAATGCAGAATCAAGAAAGTGAAACGGAAAACAATGAAATCATGGAAAAATCAGAAAAATGTGCAATCAAAGAAAACAATAAAGCTTTCGAGGAAACACAAAATGCACAAACAAATAAAGGGAATGTAGAGGATATGAGAGAAGGTAAAGTTGTTAAAGTTGATGAAACAGTAGAAGAGTGTGGTGGTGATAATACTGAAGAGAAAAAAATACGTAACACAGAGAATATTGAAGATTTAATGGGAAATATCAGCACCCAACAGCTTATAGATGAAGTGAAGACTGAAGAGTCTGATGTACCCTGTGACACTGCTTTTAATGTACGCATTACTGAAGAGAAATTGAATACTGTTTGCATAGAGTGGGATTTGTTGGTTAGCGCCGAGGTATATAAAATAGAAAAATATCATCGTAGATACGGCTGGCAGCAAATGGCGTGGTATGCACAATTTACAAAATAAAAAATTTAATTAACTTTTTTTTAACATTTTCTTAGGATTGGCCAACCGCCGGCGACTTTAGAAAATTTAGCTGAAAATTTCACCTATCGGCTACGCATCAAGGCACAGCGATTTTGCACCGAAATTGGATTATTTGTAGACTATAAAGTATCGCCAGACTTTTTGGTAATAATTTTAAGCATTTCTTTAAAATTATTGTATAAATTCTAACATTTTACCCGCCCACACAGGTTACTACCTTACCACCATTGCCAACAACACTCAGCCTACACCGAGCCATTAAGAAAGGTCAACAGTTTTTGGTGAAGCGCATATTGCGACGTCGCCCCAGTTTATTGGAATATCCAGGACCTAATGGCTATTTGCCGCTGGCTAATGCTATAATTAGCGGTGAACACTGCGTCACAGATGTGCTGTTGAGTCATGGAGCCAGTGTGCATATCGGTAATCCGCTTAACGGACGTACGCCCTTGCAGGTGTGTTTTTTTTTTTTTTTTTTTTTTTTTTTTTTTTTTTTTTTTTTTTTTTTTTTTTTTTTTTTTTTTTTTTTTTTTTTTTTTTTTTTTTTTTTTTTTTTTTTTTTTTTTTTTTTTTTTTTTTTTTTTTTTTTTTTTTTTTTTTTTTTTTTTTTTTTTTTTTTTTTTTTTTTTTTTTTTTTTTTTTTTTTTTTTTTTTTTTTTTTTTTTTTTTTTTTTTTTTTTTTTTTTTTTTTTTTTTTTTTTTTTTTTTTTTTTTTTTTTTTTTTTTTTTTTTTTTTTTTTTTTTTTTTTTTTTTTTTTTTTTTTTTTTTTTTTTTTTTTTTTTTTTTTTTTTTTTTTTTTTTTTTTTTTTTTTTTTTTTTTTTTTTTTTTTTTTTTTTTTTTTTTTTTTTTTTTTTTTTTTTTTTTTTTTTTTTTTTTTTTTTTTTTTTTTTTTTTTTTTTTTTTTTTTTTTTTTTTTTTTTTTTTTTTTTTTTTTTTTTTTTTTTTTTTTTTTTTTTTTTTTTTTTTTTTTTTTTTTTTTTTTTTTTTTTTTTTTTTTTTTTTTTTTTTTTTTTTTTTTTTTTTTTTTTTTTTTTTTTTTTTTTTTTTTTTTTTTTTTTTTTTTTTTTTTTTTNCAGGGACTCCCAATGCGCCGCGTTGTGTACCGGTCAATTTGTTTTATCAGCCGCACCTAACATGGTGAACAGACGCTGACCAGGAGAGCCGCCCATTATGGGTCCGCCGCGCCTGGATTTTGTATACTTCAACACCTATTTGCAAGAGGCGGCGTCGATTCGCCACTGTCACAGAAGTATCATCGGACTCAACGGCTTTTATACCGCATATTCCGCTCCTGTCGCTCATCGTCGGGGATTGCTTATTCGTCTAAACTTATTTCGCAACTAACCTGTTACTACAGGCCGTCCGGCTATCCGCGACCTGCCGACCCCCCCGGTAGCTTTGAGCTAAGCTATGGTAACTATCCCACCGGGCCCTTGCAGGTGTGTGTGTGTGTGTGTGTGTGTGTATACCCCAAACATAACTGTTCCTTCGCTTGAGGAAGGATAACAAATAATTTTTATATGTGGAGAGCTTCCTTATACAGGCTCTCAGATTTAGTAATCCGTATTTATATGATTTGAATGTAATCACGTTGTTGGCATTTACACAAATTTAACCGTTATTTTCATAACAGCTACGTATATCCTGTTTCCTTTTCGCCTTAAATCCAATTTATAGTATTTCGCTTTAACCAGTTAAAGTTCTATCTTCCCAAATGTATTCTTAAATATTTTTTAAATTAAAGGCAATCATGAATTTTCCTACTCTCCCTTCCACCCACTCATACAGCTCGCCTTCTATCACGGCCGTTTGGCGGTGGCGCGCATACTGCTAAATCGTAAGGCTCAACTTGAGGCAACTGACATTAATGGTATGACTGCTTGTCACTTTGCCGTCGACGCCAATCAATTGGAGCTGCTTAGATTTGCACTGGAAAATGGTGGCAATGTGAATGCTAAGGACGCTTGCGGCTGGTCCTTGTTGTCACGTGCAGGTGAGTACAGGTGCAGTTTGTGTTTGAGGCGATTAAGTAAGGCCGTTTGTTGCATCAAATTTGCATTTACAATTTGCCATTTACAGTCGTTATGGGCGCTGACGTTTGTGTTCTGAAGCTGTTGTTGACACACGGTGCAGATGCCAAGTCCACGGATAAACTTGCCAAGACTTGTATGGATTTGGCGAAAATTTACAAGAACTTTATAGCTGCAGATTTTTTGGCAAAGGCTTTAAGGCCGAAGTAGTTCGGGATTAAGCGGAATGTTGATGATACGTAATGTGTGAGTTGTTTGGAAAATAAATGATTTTTTTTGTCATGAAAAAATTTAAACTTTTTTTACTTCTTACAATTCGCACAGCATCTTGGGCTGAAAAAACATCAAGACGCACACTGCAATTGATGGAGGAGTTCGGTCGAAAATCTCTTTTGTGGATAAAAACATCAATTACATGTATATACATAGAGGGTGATTTTTTAGCTATTATAATTTTGGCAACACTGGCCTAGACACGAATCGTCTTACAAACGAACAAAGCTTGCAAATTATTGAATATTTTTTCTCGCTTTTTTATCGAAAAATTGTGTTCAACGACAGAGCTCATTTTTGGCTAAATGGGTGCTCAAATAGGCAGAATTGTTGATTTTTGGAGTAAAAATCAGCCAGAAACATTACAAGAGATACCAATACATACCGAAAAAGACACAGTTTGGTGCGGCTTATGGGCTGGTGGCATCATTGGGCCGTACTTCTTCAAAGATGATGCGAATCGTAACGTAACTCTGTGTGGTGAGCGCTACCGTGAGATGATATCAAACTTTATTTTGCCCAAAATGCAAGAGTTTGACTTACATAATATGTGGTATCAACAAGACAGTGCCACACAGCACGCGTACACAGAGTCTTTGCACGCCATTGACCACCTCTTTACATACCCCCTGAAACAGACGCATCTAACCCCATCAGAGAGTGGTCCGAACCCGACGAAGCAGTTGGTTTCCAGGACCTCCCATTAAATGACCTCGGTGACTTCATTATGAAGAGAATAGCCGAGAATTTCGTCGGCTGCACCTTAAGTTGTTTTGCAGTGAAGAAGTGGGACAGGTCGGCGAGACAGCAGTTCTTTTTCGAACAAAGGTCGTCAATATCCTGGCCAGGCGCCAATATCGTGCCATCAGCGGCATATCTTCTGGTAGAAGAGAATGCTCGAAATGGAAAGGATACCACTCTGCGGTACACCAAGTTTAATTTTCCTTAGTTTCGATGTTTCACCTCGAAATATTACCGATGATTGTCGACCAGGATGCCTCTTTTTCCGCTTGTGGTTGTTCACTACTCTACGAATCTCCCTCTTTAGGGATTCCCGGTATCAGAGTTTCGAGGGGTGTAGCGCCTAGATGCCAACACCGCCGCTTCTATCGGAAAATTTGGGCGGATTTCCGCCATTCGTCATGCCGAGATGGAGCGGGCGGCAGTAGTCACGACGACCCTCCGGAAGTAACGTTCACACGACAGTCGGGAGGGCTATCAATCGAGATTTGTATGGGTAAGTGATCCAATGCTAGTGTAAATATAGGTCGCCAGGATAAACGTCCGAAAATAGCCAGAGTAAGACGCCAGAGTAAGACGCACTATGGTCCGACCTACGGAACGGACTGTGCGGGGGACTAGGAGTTGCTGGGTAGACCTCGCATGGGTTGAGGATGAGGAGTTGGTTGTGAGTGGGGATGGGGCGGGAGGTTGGTGTGAGTCATGCTGCGGAGAGCTCCGCGAGACTGGAGGCTCTGTCGTGGAGGCTGGGGCGCACGTGGGCGTTGTCAGCTTGGGGCCACATAACTCGTGATCCACTCCCTATGGGTCTTAAGGCCTGAGTAGGTCTTAAGATGACTCCAATCATTACACTGGTTGCATCTAACCGGGGTGGAGAAGTGGTGGAGTCGTTTCTGGCACACGCAGCAGAAATAACGTCCGTGTTGCTCCGTTGGCGAACCTAAATTAATGTTAACTGTTGACCTAAATGGTCGCCGAAAGGCTGACAGCCCTTGGCCTGATAAAATCCGGGTCAACACCGGTACGTAGAAACAGCTATGTTGAAACTTGAAGAAGAGGAGTATATGTAGCTTTGGTATAAAGCTTACTTCTCTCAACTGCGAAGGTAAGATAACCCTTCTGGCATATAATATAAAAATCAGTTGAGTTTTTGATCTACGGTTCCGACCGAGCCTTGTCCCTCTTACTTGCTTAATTTCGAAATATTGCAAATGTGGAACACAAACATATTGACATCGCAAGTAGTTCGCTTCTCTGCGCATTGGCAGTCTTTCTAATTATTTTGATTATTTTGTACTTCAGCTTCTCATTTGCCTCCAAGACTCGTCTTCTTGTCTAAATTGACTAATTAAAATAAAAAATAAGAAAATAATTTCGAAAACCAAGTTTCTTATCAACATAAGACCAGCGCTTATCAGCAATAGCTGGCGAGCTAGCGCATAGAAGGAGCTCAATCTCACAGCATTCGATTAGTTGAAGTTTGTTGATTAGCGCCGCAGCTTGTCAGCGTCACGCCAGCTAAATAACAGCAACGTTTGCATAGTGTCAACGCGCACAAATTGAGTGTCATACTCAAAAAATAAGAAAAAGAAAAAAAAGGAACCAAACTACTAAAATTGAAGTGAAAATTTGCCAGCAAAAACTTTTCAATCCCGCAAAACATCCAATATATGTGTGTATGGGAGCTCGATGAGGTCACGCGCACCATGTAAATAACCGAAAAATTGTTAAAAGTTTTTGACACAAATCAAAATTGAGTTTGCGCAAGTCGCAAGCGTTGACCAAGAGCGGAGCGCAGTGCGGCTTGAGTATAGAAAATAGGAAAGTTAAACGAGACAGTGAATAAAGTGAATAAAACTATTCAAACATTTATGTGACGCCGACCGACAACGTGGGCAATAGTGACGTGAGTACATTGCTGGATTTGTGGTTCATAACAATGTTTGCGCTTGACAAGAACATTCATCAACGTCCACATCATAGTGGGAGATGTCAACTTTACGCACTCAAAATACTTTTATGCGCTTTTCTCGTAACTCTACAGTGTCTGCGCGTGCAGTGCGACGACTTGAGAGCGTATAAATATATTTCCAAAGCACGTGAGAGGGAATTGGAGACCCTGGCGTTGCGCATAAATGCCTCTGTGAATCCGGAACGAATGCCTTGTGAGAGCTTTTACGACTATGTTTGCAGTTACAATAAGCCGCTCTTTACGATTTTGGGTGAGTAACGGTTTTTGAGTGTGTATGAGAGCAAAAGTAATTGCATTTACCTCGCAGGCCATCAACCTGAATTCACGGATCTTATGAAATTACTCACCGAGCTGCAGCAGGACACGGAGAAATTCGATGCCAAAGACAAAATGATGGATTTCTTCATCTCGTGTAACTCGAAGAAAATGCTCGAGGATTGTTATCGTGAAACTTTCGAATATTTTAAGCCGCTCTTCGGCTATATCATCAGTAAGAACTACGTTGGCGCCAATGCGCCGGAACATCAAACATTCCTACACCTGCTGGAGAGCTTCCTCTACAAGGCAGCGCAAACACATAATTTCATGCACCATCCGATACGTCACCGCTTGCTGACACTGCGCGAGAAGTTTCGCTTGCCACAGATCTATTTTCGCCCACACGATTTGAGCGCCGAATATGCGCCCCTGCTGATGTACCGCGAGAGTTATAAGCACAATGTACGCAATTTGGAGTTGCATCGTCGTCACAACTCGACCTTTGAACTGGGTGTGGAGCGTACAATGTTGGAGTGGACTTTGTATTTGTATCAGAGTCGCAATATGCCGATGTCTTACTACTATCCAACACTGAATGTGCACTTGTGGATGACTTTGTACAATACGACGGAGCGTGATCGTGAGCCGAAGCGTGTACATGAGTTGGCTGAGTGTCTGAAGTTGCCGCCGTACGTGCATGTGTTGGATGAGGCGCGTGTGCTGGCTGTGATTTATCTGAAGGCTTTCCAAAATGCTTGGATTGACTATAGTAATTGGATCAAACCTGACATCTCGAGCGTCAACAATGAAATCTACAATAGCGAGAATAGGAAACTTCAGCGTTTCGGCTTGGATAATAAGAAAATATTCTTCATTTTGTATGCGCAAAACTTTTGTGAGTTTGGCAAAGAGTTGGCTGAGAATATCTTTTATTTGGGTATGAAACAGAATCGCGATTTTGCCGATAGCTTCCAATGTGTGCTCCCACCAGGGCCGCGCATGCCTTGTGATGTGTAGTGCTGGTTAAAGAAAGGCATTACGATTTTTTAATATATATTTTTACTTACTGCTTAAGGGGGTTTCATGTTCGATATAATAGATACTTGTAGATTCTTACTCGCTATGGTTTTAAATAAACAATTTGATTACTGTTTCCAACACAACAATATAAAAAAGTTTCCAAAAGAATTTCATATATAAAAGTCTTATGTCCGCTTGGAAAAATCCAGTAATTTCTAAAAATCTTCAAGAGTTACCAAGCCGATTGACTTGAAATTTAGTCAGATTGCTTCTATGATACCTGGGAAGGGTTTTACGAATGCTAGTTATGGCGCGATTTACTTGAAATTCGGTACGTAGGTGTCTTTTTGCTTAAATTAACAGGAAGACAACTCTGCTCTCCGGGAAGTGAACCTATGTCAATGCTAAAACCAAATATTTTTTTATTCATATTCCCCCAGGTATTGAGTAAAAACTGTCTTTGTATTTTTCATACATTCAATGAGTATATGTGACAGCGAAGAGTTCCAGAGTATAGCAGAGTCGTCATGGCCGCTGCCGTCCGCTTCATGCCGGCAAGCCGCCCAAGTTTTCCGACAGAAGCGGCAGTGTTAGCATCTAGGCGCGAAACCCTTCGAAACTCTGATCCCGGGAATCCCCTAATCAGGGATTTAAACGCGGAGATGCGCCGAGTAATAACCAACCTCAAGCGCGAGAAACACTTAAGGACCAGCAACCTCTCCTCTAGGGCAACCAAGCTCGTTGCCTAACCCGACGAGACGCGATGAGCGGGTGACAGGGGGTCATCGCGAGGGCAAAAGCCCACAAATCCATTGGCCCTGACGGAATAAGCATGCTGATACCAAAACATCTTGGTTCAGCGGGAGCAGACTTTCTCGCCAAGGTCCTCAACTTGTCTGTGATCACCCTAATGATACCTGAAGTGTGGAAAACGGCAGGGTGGTCTCACTAATCAAACCGGGGAAACCAGCCAACAAAGGAGAGCCTTATCGGACGAAAACTCTCCTCTCCACAGCAGCGAAGATACTTGAGGCCTTACTTCTCCCGACCTTTGCTCACCATCTGCGTCCAGCAACACATCAGCATGGCTTCCAAAAAGTGCACAGTACTACACAGTAAACACCAAGATAGTCAATAGCCTTGCACGCAAACTGTCCTGGTAGCACTGTCTGTCAAAAGCTTTGATACCTTTTACCGCCAGAGTTGCAGAGGTCGGTAATATTCCCACGTGAAACATCGAAACCCAGAAATATTAAACAGGGGGTTCCGCAGGGTGGTGTCCTCTGCCCACTATTGCTTAATTCCTAGATCTCGAAACACCCTCATCCACCTTAAGGAGTTTCCCTAACCTTGTATGACGATGATTACCCGATAATGGCGTCTGGCAAGGATATTGATGACCTCTATTGGAAAGTGTACTGCTACCTTGCCGATCTTTCTCACTGAAAATTCAACCGGCCAAATCCTCGGCTAACCTCTTTCCCAGCTGGACGAAGGAACACAAGCTTGAACGAGATGTGAAGGTCTATGGCGTGAAAATTCCGACTGTAAGCAACCCAAAGATAGTGGGGTAACACTAGATAGCCTGCACTCTGCATACAACCGCAATTGCCGCAAAACTCCAGAGCCGCAACAAAATACTCAAAGCGCTAGCCGGCAGTCCCTGGGGTAAAGACAAGGAAACTTTGATTGGCTACTTAAAAACAATCGGTCGTAAACTATGCTGCTCCGACTCATGTAGCCCCCCTCTCCTTCTTCCGTCTGGTTGAATCCCGTCGGAATAGCACGTTTCCTGGACCTCGCACTAGATGACCTTGGCGACTTAGATTGATCAAACCTGTACCTAAGCGAGGTTAGCGAACCGCTACAATAACAACGAAGGACTGATCCGTCATAGAACGGTGCTTTCATACCGCGTGAAACCTGAGTATGCTCTATATAATCCACAGTAGCAATCTGGAGATGTGTTCAGATTCACAAATTTATTCTCACAAGAGTTCGCTCTGGTCTTGAAACCTTCCACAAGTCGCAGCATCTTTTCGTTGAATTTTCAAAAATTACCTTTGTCGACCAACTTCTTCATGTCTTTATATTCATGCATCGGGGTCTCTTTCTTTTTTTGTTTGAGCATTCGTCTTGCTTCCCTCTTAAATCAGCCTGCTATCTACCTAATGCGTTTCCGTAATCCTCAACATATCAGCTGTTTTTGAAATGTGTGAGCAGCAACGCCATAAATGTGCTATGAATTGGAGACAACTGATTTATTAGACATAAAGATGCATTCGTAAGAATATTCCACCAAACTGAACCATAGACATAAATTCAATAAGATTTTGTGTTTTCAAAAAATCGTTATCTGGTCTTGAGAGGTAAGAATTTTATTTAATTTTAACCATAAATACGCTTTCTTTGAATAGGACGGTCCGTGGTCCCCTTTCAGGATTAATTTATTATAAGCCTAGTAACTAACATCGCTCTCTGTTAAATATTTATAGTAGTTTATTCAATCTAAACCTTCTAAAAAAGGTAACTCTTAAAGATGTGGTTAGGATTGCTACGGTCTCTTCATGAGATTTAGCAAATTTATTAAATTGTTTTAAATAAAATAAATTCTGTTTAAAATGTTAACACAAAAATTCCTTATTTGGAGCAAGGAATCTTATGTTAAGTGGTGTGTTTACATATTTATTACATACATGCCTACATACGAGTACATACATACTTACTTACATACAAGGTTGTCCTTTTTACGGTTTCTAAACAAAAAGCAAATAAAATCCATTTAGAATATTTTTTTTTTTCATAAAATTCTTTTTTGATTAAAAAATATGGGCATCGGCATTATATGAGAAACACTGTGTACATATATAATTTAAATGAACTGCTCGCGGATTTTTGCAAACTTCGATCAAAATGAGTTAATTTTCGACCCCTTTTCGGCATATCTTGGCCAGATCTCAGCCATAACTTGACGAATGTTGGTTTTTCAGTAGTCAAAAGCTAAAAGCTTATCCGTGTAAATACGGTCTTTCCTGTAGCTTCACAATAAAAACTGTGATATTGCCATTAATTCGTGCGGTCTTTTTTCGAAATTAAGGCTTAAAAACATATCAAGAGCTCGGTGGCCAATTAACATCGCCAAGAGGAGAGACTACACTGGCGGTAGATTTCTCTCTCAATACAGCCAAATTTACTCGTGTTGTGCGGCGTGTCGTACAAACCACGTATTGCCCAAGTCGTGTTCTTCAATTGCTGGCTAAAAAATGTTGGTCATTATCTCGCCATCACGCTCCGAATTCATAGTGACATGCTGCCACTATCCATCTTACATATCGCACAGCCATAACACCCGACTGTAGTATTTTAAGCAGGACAACCATCAGAAACGGGACCGGCAAGTGGTGACAAATTTTCATTTACCTCGAGCTCTTATAAGGCAGGTTGCTATGGATGGAAGGTATCTAAGATGGGTAGCTGCAGCAACAGACTCGCCGTTGTCGTTTTCAAAGTAACAAGATCCAATTACACCTCCAGACCAAAGGACGCAATCATTTTCTCCCTCACCTTATCTCACTCTCGCTCTATCTCTCTCTCTCTCTCTCTCTCTCTCTCTCTTGAATCATTAGAGGATTCTGGGATGAAAAATGACTGTCGACGTATGTACGGCATCGTGAATGGTCAGCAGGCTTCAGTTGTTGTGTGAGTTTTTGACTTTGTATGGATTTAGGTGTAAGAAAGTCTCAGCTCTTGAGAAAAAATAGATACAATCGGGTCCTCAGCCACATTTTCACTTTCACTATACTTAAATGGAGCCCATGAAATGGATAACCCTACGTTTGTATGACACATGTATTACCACAATGGACAGAAATTTGCATGTTTTTGCCAAAGCATTAGAAAGGACACACACACATACACACATACACTTATGCTCGGGCCAGAATTACAACATTTGAGTAGTGTGTATTAGTTTTGTGGTATTCTGTCAGTCTCTGGCTTTAAAGGAATAATTGTGGTACCCAAAAACTGAATGGACCAACAGCCAACCAAAAGGGGCACTCAAAATGCACCTACACATGGCTTGATGGGGAGCGAACTGCATAAGGCTGAACGTGCATACAGAAATTTAGTAGAGTGATTTAAAATAAGTGTGTGTGTTTATGTGTATGTGCGTCTGTATTAGTGTGAGCCAAGTGTGAATATCGCCTGCACGTTTATGTAAACCAACTTTTGTGCAAATTCTATTTATTCAAGATGCCCAAGTAGAGAAGCATGCAGACCAACCAACAGCCACACCTAGATTACACCGAACATTTTCACCGAAATCTCCAAAAAGCTAAAGCAAAATAGCAGCCAGTCTCACTGGGTAAACTACCACCAACCTTATATAGAATTTAAAACTTAATTTGCCAATCTCCATATTTAGTTGAAACTGCAAGGGAGGACGAAAGCGACAGTGCTAGAGATAAAGAGGACATAAACATACGCAGCCTGAGCCGTTTGAGATTATGTAACTGCGTTGTGTGTGTGAAAGCTATTTGCTAGCCCTCCACTGAGGCATTCAAAATGATGCAGAGTAAGAGAATTTACACCGAAAGCTGCTGACTAACCTGAAATGGCTTGGCCAAAGCGTTGGTGTAGAAAAGCCAAAAAGGAGTGGGGATAAATAAAAAAAAACTGAAAGAATATGTATGTATATAATAACAAATATTTGTGCACTCCGTGCATGCAAGTGAAGCGTGAAGCATAGAAGTAAAAGAAAAGTAAAACAGCGCATTATGCGAAATATATCAAATGAAGGAAAAATGAAATGGCATTCCTTTAGCTGTTCGCCAAGTAAGGATTTATGTATGTGTGTATGTATATATGGAGCTTTGTGCAAATTTTTGGCCGGTTAGTTGGCAAGTTGCATACTTTATGCCGTTGAACCAGCATATTGGTAGGTAGCTAAAGTCGGAGTAACGCGTACGAAGAAAATCTACCTGCTTATATAACCATATACATACGAGTATGTATGTATACAGATTAGGGTGTTTTAATTTAACCGCCGGAACTTTGAATACTGAGTTGTAAATTAAAAGATAAAGTCCTCTCTCGACGAATAAAGACCAAACTCATAATCCCTGTCCTACTGTATGGCTTCGAATCACGAACGATGACAAAATCTGATGACTCGGCGCAACGAGTTTTGTGGCAACCACTAAGGTCTAGAAGAATTTTTTTAAACTTAAAGGTTTTCCTGTGCTGAAATGACGGCTGCTATATCCGCATTGCGTACTACCATTTGGAAGGCCAGAGTTTGAGTTCTTGTTCGACCAACATCAAAAAAAAATGATAATAGAAATTTAATT